ATCAGCTGTGCTGCTGCCATCAACACCTTTGTTTATAGATGTTGGAGATCGGCTTCTTTTTCAGTGTAATCCTGTTTCTCTGACTGTAACTAACTGGATGTGCTCTCTTGAATCAATCTGACTGTTTAATCTGTTTGAATTATCTCAAAGTGACCAAACAAGCAAACCAAAGGTCCCTCTGGCTGCAGTACATCCTGTTAACCAGTAGGAGCTGCTTCAACTAAAGGGCTGAATTTTCTCAGCGTGGCTCTGATTTCTGCACCAGAACTAGACCAGCAGCCTGAAGCTGAAGAATCCAGCAGAGCGATCCCAGGTGTAAAGCATGCAGAGATGCTATTAGTTGGAAAGAACAGATCAAAGAGGTGGAGGATGGGGCTGAGGGTCAGATAGGACTAAAATCCAAGGTCTAGTTTCTGTACTTCCAGCTGTGACAGCTTAGGCAGTAATTGTGGCCGGTCTGCTTCTGCATCTCAGATGTTTTTATCAGCTGCCATCTATGGTTAGAGAGAAAGTCTCTAACATGTCAGGTAAACCCTCCTACGGCTGGTCCTGCAGTCTGTATCAACTACAACCTAAACAAAGCTTGTAGTTTATTAACAATTACAGAAGTTTTTAGATTCCTGGAAGCAAACTCTGATCAATTATTGATGGATCACGAAAAAGGAATTCCCTAAATATGTTCAGTATGCGGCTTAGGTTCCTACCAGGGCTAAGGCCGAGGTCACGGACCAGGCCAGGGTTACAGGCACAAAACCTGTGGCTGAACTTGGTGATGAGCGTTTCCAGATACTCCCCCCTCTCCTCGGGGGCGTGGATGTGGCGGAAAAACTCCCTCAGAGCATTCGGGAGGAACTGGTTGCTGAAGTTATGGAGCGTCACCAACTCGTCCAAGACGTCCCGCCTGCAGACAAAGCAGCTCTCATGAGATTGATCTAAACAGGTTCAGGTTTCTCATGGATGTCCTGCAGGTTCCATGGTTTCCTCTCTGCAGAAGCACAGAGGAAGGAAATGTTTCCAGTCTTATTCTAATCAGTGTTTATGTGTTCACCTCTCATCCAGGTAAATCCGCAGCATCTTCCAGTTGAGCCTTCTGGTGTAGAAGATGAACTTGGCCAACTCTGTAGGGTGATCCACCAGGATTCCTTTAGACATGAAGTAGCTGATGCCCTAGAAGGAGACACAGGGAGGAGGAAGCATGAGGCTGGAGCCTCACAGGGTGTAGGCAGTGTTGCCAACCTAGCGCTTCTGCTGCTAA